CCTCCCACCTACTACCTGCTTCACCACACGAACCATGACATCGCTCTACAGTCTCCATCATCCAAACCTTTTGCAGGGAAAACAGGTATGTAGTCAGTCAATGATGGAATTATATGTTGTATAGGACAGGACACTGTGCATAGAACAAGAATATATTTATTTACACATTTACCTATTCATTTAGAGTGTGTAATATCTTACCTCAATGGGATGTTATGATACTAAAAATGACAAGGAAAAACACTGGAGAAAATAAACTATACCATAGTTTATTTTCTACAGTATTGATGATACAGTTTACAGTACTATTCCAGTCACTGTCCAGTGATGCATTAGAATTGTGGTAAAGTTACTGTAAGTAAAACAACAATACAGTTACATAGGTAACTCATTCTTTAAGGTATACATTACAAATGGAGTGTTGTCCTTTTGAATTCTATGTCTAGGATTGGAAACTTCTCAGTGAACAACAAGAACAGGAGATCTGTAATGCCATCACCTTGAGACAGATTCGCACTGCAATCCTACAAGACAATGCCATATTCCAAAATGTCAACTCTATAAGCATCTCCACAATAGACCGGATATTGAAGAATCAGATGACAATGAAGCAAACTTACAGGGTACTATTTAAGAGGAACTCTGAGAGTGAAAGAGCTGTGGTACCAGTATGTACATGTAAGTCAGTTACTGGTTGTCCATTATAACCTTTTTATAATTAAGCAGTGGTTCCCTAACTTTTTTCACTTCAGTACCCACTTTACCTGATCTGTGTATCGAGGTATGAAAGTATTTGATTTATCGGACTTCAACATTTTGCCTAAAAACTGCAGCTTACTGTATGATACAATTATCATTGTAATCCTTATTTTGAAGAATATAACATACAATAAGAAAAGGGTGTCAAAGAGCTGCAATTAGTGCCTCCCATGTAAATCTAATACTGTGGGTTTTACTGTAACATTTCAGTAAGTCTAGTCATTGATGATTTCCCCCTCCCCTTTCTGTCAAATACCCCTTGTAGCAGGGGTACATGTACCCCAGGTTTGGAACCACTGGAGTAGTGGCCAGTAGTATATTGAACTTGTGGAGAACATAGAACACTCAAATGTAATTGTCTGTAACTGTAGTGTATGACTGATTTGATTTTTTTTTTTTTTTTTTTTATGCTGTTGTAGAGAAGAATGGCATTTTAAGGAAATGAGACCCATCACATCCTCGTGTTTGTGGATGAAGCTGGCTTCAACCTGGCCAAGGGCCAAAGACGTGGCCGTAATATTATTGGCCACAGTGGATGTCCCAGGGCAGCGAGGGGGCAATATAACTGTGTGCTGCCATATCTGAGAATGGTGTGGCCACTCACATCCCCAGTCTTGGCCCATACAATACATAGAAGCTCCTCATCTTCTTGGACCGCCTTCATTTGGATTTGATCCCTGAAAATGAAGAGAGGTCTCGTAGGGCCTCACCTACCACAATATGTCATTGTATGGGACAATGTGAATTTCCACTGTGGCCCGCTCATCAGGTTCACTACTCATCCAAGGATGGTCATGGTGTTCCTACCACCTTACACTCCTTTCCTCAATCCTATTGAGGAGTATTTCTCTGCTTGGAGGTAGTGTATGAGAATTGGGCTCAAGATCAGAGGTCCCTGCTCCGTGCAATGGACGCTGCGTGTGAGGATATTGCAGGAGATCAGTGTAGGGGATGGTTACGACATGCACGCCGTTTCTTCCCTCATTGCATCGCAAGGGAGAATATACGCTGTGATGTGGACGAGAATCTGTGGCCAAACAGCAGCGTGTGGATGGCCAGGAGGGTGAGAACTGTGACCAGTGAAGAACTGTTAGTTGTGAAACTCCAGCTTTATTTACAGCACTGTAGGCTGCATATAATTCATTGTGTTTTTTTTTGAGTGTTTATATTACAGTATATTATGCTGTATACACTTTCTTTTTACTCTGATGTATGGAAGTTACTTTGTGTGTGAATAAAGTACCCTAAAGTCCTATTTCTTTCAGTTTTATACACAATTGTATTCTGTTTAGCTAGATGACAAACTGTACAGTAACAATTGTCAATGAAGGACTGGGCTAAGACTGAAAGGTGGACGTGAGGTATATTTCAGTGGTCCCCTGCCATAGTGACAAAACATCTAAAGATTTTGACTTGCAGTGCTTGCACAATGCCAAAGGGAGGAAGCATTTTGGGGGCACTGACACATGAGTGAACTGTTTTGGGAGAGGTATGAGCTTTTGCAGGTGAACCATGGTGTTGTGCCGACCCATCCACGTTATTCTGGCAAAAGCACCAAGAGTGTTGCGAACATCCAGTCTGTTTCAAAAAATGGGCCAAAGCAATTGAGAAGGATCTTTGCCATTTTCTTGGCACTGACTCTCTGTATGGGAAAGGAATTTAGTTTTGAAGCATAAGTGAACAATTTTGGGAGAGAGAGATGAGCTTTCGCAAGTGAGCTATAGCGTTGTGCTGAACTGTAAGACTGTGTTTTGCCAAATGATCTTAAAGGTTTGCGAATGTAATTTCGGTTTCAAGAAATGAGCCAAACCAATGGAGGGGAAAAACTGTAAAAGTTAAATGGAAGAAAAAGGTGCACAAGCAGCAGGGGTGACCATAGCCTGGAGAGGATTGTCAGGAAAAGGCCATTCAAATGTGTGAGGGAGCTTCACAAGGAGTGGACTGAGGCTGGAGTGACTGCATCAAGAGCTACCACACACAGACGGGTCCTGGACATGAGCTTCAAATGTTGTATTCCTCTTGTCAAGCCGCTCCTGACCAACAAACGTCAGAAGCGTCTTACCTGGGCTAAAGAAAAAAAGAACTGGTCTGTTTCTCAGTGGTCCAAAGTCCTCTTTTCTGATGAGAGCAAATTTTGCATCTCATTTGGAAACCAAGGTCCCAGAGTCTGGGGGAAGAATGGAGAGGCACAAAATCCAAGATGCTTGAAGTCCAGTGTGAAGTTTCCACAGTCTGTGTTGGTTTGGGGAGCCATGTCATCTGCTGGTGTTGGTCCACTGTGCTTTAAGTCCAGAGTCAGCGCAGCCGTCTACCACGACATTTTAGAGCACTTTATGCTTCCTTCAGCAGACGAGCTTTATGGGGATGCTGACTTCATTTTCCAGCAGGACTTGGCACCTGCCCACACTGCCAAAAGTACCAAAACCTGGTTCAGTGACCATGGGATTACTGTGCTTGATTGGCTCAGCAAACTCGCCTGACCTGAGATTCTCTATGGGACATTGCCAAGAGAAAGATGAAAGACATGAGACTGAACAATGCAGAAGAGCTGAAGGCCGCTATTGAAGCATCCCGATCTTCCATAACACCTCAGCAGTGCCACAGGCTGATAGCATCCATGCCACGCCGCATTGAGGCAGTAATTCATGCAAAAAGGGCCCAAACCAAGTACTGAGTACATATGCATGATTATACTTTTCAGAGGGCTGACATTTCTGTATTTAAAATCCTTTTTTATTATTGATTTCATGTAATATTCTAATTTTCTGAGATTTTGAATTTGGGGTTTTCATAAGCTATAAGCCATAATCATCGAAATGATATCAAATAAAGACTTGAAATATCTCACTTTGCATGTAATGAGTCTATAGAATTTATATTTATATATTTATTTATTTCAGTAATTCTACTTAAAAGGTGAACTTATAAGTAGAATTACTGAAATAAATGGTTTTGGTGAGTTTCACCAGTATGTGTTCTCTGCATAATCTAATGTTCAGTGCTGTAAAGTGTTTACTTTGAGTAGTGTCATGCACTACACTTACATGACAGTTCTGTGTATGTGTATTCATAGTGCATACTGTACAATATGTTGTCCAAAATGCATTATGTTACACAGGAAAAGTTGTTATAGTTTTTCTCACTCACTCTTCTGTAATAAAGCATGTACTGGAGCAGGAGGCCAGGGAACCGCTGCACACATTCATATACCCTAATGAGGCAGGTTTCAATCTGGCAAAAGGTAGAAGATGTGGAAGGAATCGCATTGGACAGAGAGCAACCATTGAACAACCATGTGTGCAGCCATCTCAGAAAACAGCATCCTCATCCATATCCCCCATCTTGGTCCATACAACCCACAACATCTGCTGACTTTTTAGACACTCTTTACAGGGACATCTAACTGGAGACCATCTGAACAAGCATGTTGTTGTTTGGGATAACGTGCGTTTTCACCACTCAGATGTCGTCAGACAGTGGTTTGCAGCACATGATAGGATGCTAGTAGAATACAGTATCTCTCTCCCTACTCACCATTCCTAAATCCAATAGAGGAGTTTTTCTCTGACAGTTCTCTTCCTGGAAGTGGAAGGTATATGACGGGCATCCACATACCCAAATGGCCCTGCTAGCGGCCATGGATGCAGCATGTGATGACATCACAGCAGAGTCCTGCAGAGGGGGCACTCGAGGAGATACTTTCCTTGCTGCATTGCAAGGGATGATATTCGCTGTGAGGTAGATGAAATTATATGGCCAGACAGAGAGGAACATCTGGATGTGCATGAATGATTTACAGTACTATGTTGTATGTTCAGTTCCAATATGTACTGCAATATTGTTTACAGTTGTGCACAGCTCTACCCAAAGGGAGTTTATGTTTGGTGTATTTTGTCTTTTGCACAATGCTGTGAACAAATTAGAATTGCAAAGAGCATATGCAGTAAAAATATGAAACATACATCTTCAGTGTCTTGCACTCAGTTACCTCACTGAATACAATAATGTGTAACTTTACTGTAGTTTTCAAATGGCTGTGCAAATAGTATATAGTGCTGTCTTGAGCATTTTCAGGTAGTGTCACCAAGATCTGACTTTTTTGCATTTACAGAGTAAACATGATGAAAACATGACAAAGCCATTTGACTATCTTGTTCATAAACAATGGTGTCAGGACTTTCACTGACATGAATACTTGCTTTTGAGGAATGAGCTATCCATTTTGAGCAAGTGACACACTTTTGCAGGTTATCAAATAGGTTTTGCAGTTTGTACTAATTGTTTTCAGAACTGCATTAACTGTTGTGCAAATGTAAATAGTGATGTGAGAAATGCACCAAAGCAACTGAGAAAAACTGTAAAGTATCAACATGAAAAATGTCTGTCAGTGTTTAAATTTTTTGTATTTATAGGACTATTATGACTGACTAATACAACTGACATTTACCTAAGTACTGTACTGAGTACAGTAGGCCTATTAGGTAAATGTACTTAGTTACTTTGAATCAGTACATGGACTTTATGGCACACTGCAGTAACACTGTAATGTAGGTTCATCCCAGACAAAAGCTGTTCGAAGAATTTGCCTTTTTTCAGCCATCACAAGGTAAAGACGAGAGCAAATAATCTGTCAGCAGCTGGATTCATGCCTGCTTGATGGGACTTCATCTCGCCTTCATGTATTCGGGCATACTTACGTTCACTCTCGTCCATGCACAACCACACTTGTGTTCACACTTGGAGGAATGCTTCCTGAACAGATTTGCTGTCAAACCTGAAATGTGTCTTCAAGAGGAAGCAGGACACAAAATCAGAATCTGAAGTGTTTCTAAAAACTGTATTGAGTTTGAAAACAACAGGCTGACGTTCACAGAAATTTTGATTTTGGCTGCATGTTAGTTTGTCTTTAAGATGTTACTTGAATGGTTGTTATTATGCAATATATAGCTTCATGTTGCTTTTATATCATTTTAATTATCTTTTCTTATTTCTTGTGTTTTGGATGATTTAAACAGGAGTGGTGTCATTTTAGATAGCTAAACATGAATCTTGAAGTCTTTTATTTTGTAATTATTAGAAGTCAAATCTTTCTATAGATAGTATTAATGGACAACTTTTATTTTTACCCATGGGAATAAGAAATGGTTGAACTCCAGTAAGGAAAGATCTTACACATAAAACTTTTTCTTCATCAGAGTTCACAGTAATCAAAAGATATGAAGGAGAAGTTTCACTCAGGTATCAGTTATCAATTCAATTTATCACAACACACACACACACACACACACACGCACGCACACCAACACAGTCTCAGATTTGATTTCTATGTGGCTATACAGTCATCAGGATCTTAGATGGCATGTATAAACCTGCATGAGTTTCTGTTGTCTTAAAGCCAACCGTTGCTGCTTGGTGATCACTGCGTTCTTCATATTGTGAAGGAACGGCTGCAGTGAAACCCATTTGTCATCTCCACCTGTTTAACCTGTAACATACAGACAAGCAGCGACACCGTGGTGCAACATTGAGCAGACCCTGCCTTATCCTGCACATGCACAACTGAACAGGAAGGCTTAAGGAAACCTTAGAGACATTCAGAAGAGCAACTGCTTTCATACTGCAGTCAGGTTTATTTTGGGTAAGTGAGTCGAGGAGGATCCCTACGTAGGTGAAAAGTAAAA